CTAGTATTGTCCACACTTGGCTGCTGAAGCTGTCTCCTTCTTCTTCTTCTTCTTCTGCCTTCTTTTGTTTATTCCCCGTGACAACTTCGTGGAGCTACACATAGAAATCGGTAGGATGTTTTATTCTGTGAGAGTTGTTACATTAAACAAAAAATATCACTTCAATAAGTTATGTGACCACGAAACTGTCGCCGAACTTTCGCAGTGAGTAATGTCTATTTACCCGAATACCACGTTCACTTTGTTTGAATATGAAATGTGAAATATCTGTTTTGGTCGCCGACTTCGATTGTCGAAAGTGAATGGGAAACGCGAGTAATATCGATTGCTGATAATCGACTCCGCGGCTTCCGCTGCAGTCGAAGGAACGAGAAGATGACAATGAATAAATATTGACGTGAAATGAGTGGAGGAAACAGAACAGATGAGAAATGTAACAGGGCACAAACCACTAGTTCTTATGGCTTCTTCGTAGATTCCATTAGACCGTTCTGAAAAGATCAGCTTCTATTCCGGAAAGGAGAATGTGACAGGATGTGTTGTTATGAATTGGCGATATGACCGAAGATGACCTGACGCTGCAGGTTAGAAAGCAGACATTTTATTCCCACTTACGCCGCGTATCGACGCTCACAAATCGATCGTGTGTGGCGGGAAAACAATGTCACGTCAGCATTAATTCCCACGCATTTATTATAAATTTTAATTAGATGTTGTTCACAAACGTCACGTGTGAATAATAGGCTATAAAAACCTTCAAAATTATTAAGTTCGTTGATCGAGATTGTCTTAAAAATATCTAGGAGAAAGAATTAAGCATGCATATTAACGTACACACACATTTATACAAACTTTTAATTAAAAAATCCGATAAACTTCTAAGTAAGCCTGCAGTTAGAGGCTTGTAGTCACTGCCATATGAAGTAATGGGCAGGCCTCTGGATCCCAGCTAAAGCAGTCAAGCAATTTGACTTAATAAGCGACTGATTGGCTTACCTCAGACACTTGAGCGCCTTTTATTGTGACGCCGCGAAAGTCTCTCCGCTGGTAGAAGGAGGACAGGGCGGTCCATGTGAGGCCGTCGCTGCGACTCCAGTAGCCAATTCGGTGCACCTGCAGCGGTCGGTTGGGTTGGACGCGGTAAACTTCAGTGATGGACACCTGCGCCATGACAGGCGAATACTCGGCCACCAGACACTCGCAGTCAAGCGGGATGTGAATGTCGGCGAAGAACTCTTCGACGGATGTCTCCGTGTCCAGAAACAAGATCCATCTTCCAGAAGAAAGGTCGGCCTTCATCGAAAACTGGAAACGATAAGTTCACAGGCTTTTGCGCGCTATAAGTCACTTGTAGTGCTGAGTAGACTGTACCAGAAACAAATGTTAACGGTTGGGCTGGGACTCGAACCCAGCACAGTTTTTCGGGGAATTTCGGCCTCTCCGAAATGACTTCGTGGTTTTAGGGCACGATCATGCCACGTTTGGTGCAGACCGGTCTCTCCGTTTCCGAGCGACAAGGTAACATACATAATTTCAATTTAACGTATACGTGTGATTTTATTAAAATCACCTGGAATTATTGTAAAAATATCGACTTTTTTAAATGTTTGTTACTGACGACTGAGCAAGACTCAAAGTTTCGTCCTGAAGCGTAATCTTTCGGCGCCGGTGGGCGGGCGTCCGCGTTCTGACGCCGTGTCCCTCACCTGTGATAACTCCAGCCGCGTCTGTGGGTCGCTGGTCAGAACGACGTAGGTCGGAGGGATTTCGCGGCATCCGCTCTGCTGTGACGCGTTCGTCAACCTGTAGAACGGACATGTTCCCGTGGTGAGGGCGCGTTGGCCGAACACCTTCTTCAGCTCCGTGTGCAGAAAGGTTCCCTGATGAAACGTGTCTACGAAGAAAGACAAAAGGCGCTACGTTCTGTAAAACGTTCCACAAATGAATGTCATGAATGAATGTAATCAAATCATGGATGATGACGTGGGCGGGGAATGTAACACGCATGGAGACATAATTTCATATGACATTCATGTCGGGAAAAGGGAATTTGGTGGATCTAAGTGTAGATATAAATAGAAAGCAGTTCGCGTGATAATTAGGGCTCATTATCTCCGATAACACTCATGGCAGCACGATGAGGCGTTAGACACTTCGAACTAACTGAGCAGAAATTGTTTTTTAGGGTCGTCGCCAAGAGAGGCGACTCGACGCCTGGGGTCCGCGCTCGTTGTCGCCTCACGTTCGTCTGTGAAAAATACGTCGTCTTGGGTCTACGTCGCGAAACAGGGCGTTTTTTTCACCGTAGTTTCCAGTGTCACTCTGAGGCTTGCCTGCGCAAAACACAGTTCTTAAATTGTCGGCGTCGTGGCACTTGGCGTCGGTTTGTTAGCATCAGTTAAAATGTATCCGGAGGATTTTATTGGCTTCATTCCCGTTTCGTCATCGACGTCTCAACTCTTAGCGTCGCTGTGCCCTGCATCGGTAATCCAAGGTCATGTCCTATGGTATCTCGATATGGTCGTACGTGAATATCGCGTGTTTTGGCGCCGCTCCGAAGACTGACGCGCCGACGCTTGGCGTCGGTTTGTAACAATCGTCGTACATAAGACCTCCTCGCTGACGAAAGTGTGCGTGCGAACTTACCTCCAGTTTGCACCTGGATGAATATGACGCAGGGTTGGCGAGAACGGCGTAGCAGGGCGTCCAACACGAAGGCGGTCGTCTCACTTGGGAGGGTCGTAACGCCGGAGTCTACTGCGGCTAGCAGGAGGAAGGTCGCTCGTCCCCAGGAGAACATCTTCAGTGTGAGCAGTGATTGTACCCACGTCAGGTTCCGACAGACTTCGAGTGGATTCTCGCCCCGTTCTGTGGCGCTCAGCAGGCTGAAATGTATCGCCTTCCTGCATTAGTCTCGGCGATAATGTTCCTTGTGTCAATATTTGACACTAGCAGCGTTACTATGCAGGGAACCCGGAATATTTACGTTTCCATTCTGATGTTTACTCACGAAGAAACTAATCGAGGCTACAGAGAGAGAATAAAAATGTCCACTTTCTCAGCCTTTGCACGAGGTATTACCCGAATGCAGTCTGCGGACGCTTCGTGTTTAATTAATTAATTATGTAAATAAGCACAACTCCGCATTGATTCAGTTGGACGAGGATTATTTAAAAACTAGATTGAAAAATTGAAAGGAACTTGAAATTACTCTTCACACTCAAAGCGCCCAGTCAAAAGAATATTTAAAAAAAAAACTGCGTTTCAGAATATTTGAAAACGTGGGGCGGGACTTTCCGGTGTCATTGACCACATGGTCTGGGTCGTTGCCCCAGGGATCGTGGGTTCGTATCCCGTTCAGAGTACTTGTGTTTGCCCGCTTCTTGCTTTGTCATGCTCGTCTGTGGAGGCAGGGTCTGGCGACGGGCTGATCACTTACTTCTCCGGCGAGTCCTGCCAGATTTCTGAACAGCTTAAGAGACCTCCGATATATGAGGCGGCCGAGGTCCTTCGAGGACTGCAGAGCCACGAAGTCAGAACCGCGGACAGAGCTTGGAGCAGAATATGACATGTCACTGCTTCGTCTTTTGTTGAACCCGAAGATTCTTCCTGTGTTCACAAGAGCCCGCCATTGGTCTGTGTGATCAGTCACACCAGTTCAATAACACGCCCCCTTTACGCTAAGGTCTTCCAAGTGTTCTCTTTCCTCCAGGTTACCGACTAAAATTCGTCCTTTTTGTTCAAGCTCTCTATGCTAAATGTCTTTAAATTAATGACTGAACTTCTGAGACATAAATTTGTATGTTTCGGCAAGCTTCGTAGAGCGTTCGTGGGTAAAACATTAGTACCAAGGCACAGCGCTGTTGCAGGATGAAACGCCCCCAGCATTACAGCTACCATTTGCCTAAGTTAGCTTTGCTCTGTGTCAACACGTGGATGTAAATGCGTTTCGGAAACTACACTTTGGATTGCCGTCGGCTTTGGCATAGAGTCTAACTTTTTCAGCACTTAACCAGAAGCTATGCATTGACTATTAACCACTGCTATTGAAATAGTAGTTTCTGATAAGCGTTAATAAGTTAGTCCACGTTTAATCTCGAACCAGATGACAGGTTACACTCTTACAAAGATACAAACGTGAGGAAATGATGAGGGTGGAGTATTGATTAGTTCTCGAAATTGAGAAACCTTTGCCTCTGAATCCTTATTCATCGACAAGAACTAACTTAATGCCTGTTAAATATGAAAATGCACACGTTCCAGTGCTCTGAGGTATTTGTAGGAGTCAGACGATCAATAAGCACCTCTCAGAAGGGGGCAGACACAGAGAGAGTGCTCGAGAAAAATGTGACACGCAGTTTCATTGTACCACTGCACGGAGGGCCAAAGGGGACTCCGGACGGCGGAGGTCGCCGTGCTAGGCAGCGCCGTCTCCTCGCAGTGCCCGGGAAGGCAGGCGCCATGTTGTGATGGATCTGTAGACAGACGCGGGCTTGCGTAGTGATTCAGCGTCTTAAAACAATCCAGTCAAGGAAACGAGTCCAGTGGAATGCTCTTCGTGTGATTGTGCAAGAAGATTGTGTTGGGATCCATCGCTTTTTAAAAAACACACATAATTTTTCGAGTTCTAAATGTTGTGACTTCAGTGATATGATGGGAAGTAAAGAGGTCACTGTTCACAAGGCTTGAAAGTCGCTCTAGAAAATCATACGTAATCCACTTAGACTCGTCATTATCCTGTCGAATTGTGTCAGCGGTGGTAAAACTGGAAATTATTAGCATAATTAGTTAAGATAACGAGAGATAGTAATTTTAGGTCATACTGTACCTTAGGAACGTTCCCACCCGTGTCTATACCAAATATAATTTCTATTGTATATTTAATGAACGCCACTTACGCCATTCAGGTAAAATTCAATTATACTGTGGGAGTCAACGCAGAAGCGTATTTGTGATTTCAGTTGTTTTGACAATTGTTCAGTTCTGAATGTATTTCTCTCTTTCCTGTAATCGATAATTTTATTAGTGACTTAAGTTTATTTGGCATTTTTTTATTTTGAACCTTCAGAAAAATGTAATAATGATTATGTTATTTTGAACCGAAATTGAAAGAATTTGCGATCAAAATAAATGCAGTCATTTTAGAATACTGAAATAAACGACTTTTAAAGTGTGTATGTAGCGTACTCTCACGTGTCAGCAAAAATTCGAGCTGTCATCAGAAGTGGACGTCGGTCTGTTAGAGTGAGCAACAGTTAAGCCATATATTGGCTTTCGTCGTCCACATTACGAGCACGTTGGAAAATTCGTAAGCCTAAATTTACTATGTCAGAATTTTCCTCGTAGAAGCAAGTCGGATCTTGTGAGTTTCATACGACGCGTAAAATACAAATATAAAACTTCGAAGTATTTAAACTTATTTCGCTCCGGTAAAGTTATTAGAGCATTATGGGTAATGCGGAGAGCAATGTGACGAGCGGGGTGAAGAAGCAGGCGGGAACATGTGCACAGAGCATGTACAGGCTGGTCGATCTCAAAGGTACGTGTGCACTAAGAGTTTTTCAGTGTGGCCACAAGTTCTGTGAAATTATGGCAAGGAATTTAAACACGTGACAACCTATTTGTGGGCTTTGTCTCAATGTCTGGAGGTACCCGACATAATGACGGCCCTTCAGCAAAGTGGATCTTGAAGTTGTTCAAACTCGATAAAAGAATCTCGATAAGTTTCAGTTCTCGTCCGTCGTACGGAGTTTGGTTGAAATCGACCTGTTTTTTAAATAGTCTTAAGAGCTGTCGGAAATCCCACATTACGTCAAAATGTGGCGTTGTTCAAGACCGTAATACAAATGTCTGAAGCTGAAGGAGTGGTATTTATCAAACAAATAATTTTAACTATAAATCTCCTGAAATTTGAGCATTTAAATTGACCTCAGTAAATTTCTAGTTTGATAATGCGACTGTCTCCTTAAGCCGTAGGATAGACCTCAGTCCTTCGTGGGTCAATATTTTGAAGTCCCGCGAACCTGGTCCACGGGCCAACGCCGGAAGTCTTTCAGACGGCCACTCAGTGGACGGCGCTTGGCTTCTTCGAAGATGCACGTGTTTTTAATCGGGTGTCGTTGAACTGCAGGGGGCGGACTGCTAGTGGACATGATGAAGCGTGCAGCTCAGACGAAACAGTACGCCGAGTTGGATCATGCTATTAAAACCAAAGTGGAGCCCTACCTTTACAACAAGGGACAGGGAAGCCTGATTCCCGTAGCTCGGCTCGTGCTCCTGAGGAACAAGGAACGCCCTCGACACAAGATGGTGAGTGGAGTGTCCGAGGCTGCGTAAGCGATGGGAAACGAGAGGAGGGCGCATGGAAATGGAGAGCTGACAGAAAACTAAACATTTTTCGTTCTTCACGCTCTGGCATGAGCGAGGAACAAATTACGGGCCCTCCGATGCCCGTCTGTCGCGTTTTCCACAGGAGGTGGGCGACTTCCATGACCGGGTCCTTCCTCAGGATAATTCTGCTATTATTCCTTTGTCTTGCTTTCACCGTGTTGGACACGCCCCTTGATGATGATGATGATGATTCTCTGTACAGAGTAGATCATACAGACCCCAGTAAGACCGAGACCTCAGCACAAGGGGCTACGCCACTTCTGAGGGATGTACCCGCTGGGGACACCCCAAAATAACATTCCCACGCTTAGTCCCAACAGGTCCTTCTCCATGATTCTTGCTCACTTGGGGCATACCCCCCACACTTCGCTTTCTGTACCTGGAACTCTGCCCCCTCCCCGCTGTCATCGAACTGTGTCATTGTCGTCTGTAGTTTCCCAACTATTCTGTTCCCAGCTTCCGGTCTTGAGAGCGATGGAGAACCCTGACGATTACGACATCGACACGAACCTTGGCGTTCCAGTCGACGAAGGAGAGAAAACTGGTGCGTAATTAAATTCCCTAATTACCTGCAAGAAAAATTGTTGTGTTCAATCCGAGAAACAGCTGGAACATGTAAATAGACTGAATGCGGGCGCGTTCCATTTTGGACGGCGGAGTCACGCAGCGAGAAGTTTCGTCCGCTCTCTGGACACCGAACGACCTGCTTCGGTGGTACGAGCGACTTTCTTCCACAGTTACGAAAGGTTCTACGACATTCTCATCAAGACCAACATTTTGCCTTGAAATGCTTCGTGGTAACAAAGCCTTTCGGGTGCTGTCAAGAATAAAGAGGTCCGTCTTCCAGGAGATTATGTGAGATTTCACTCCAAATTCACACTTTAGTGGGCTTGAAAGAAATGAACTGCATTCTGCACAGTGACTGTACCACTTTAAATATTGCATTGTAACTTGAATTTCTGTTCTCAGCCGAATTCTTTAAAATTTAATGGCAAATTCACTATTAAATTATGTTATAGTCAGTGAGGGGGGAGGACAAAGACTAGTTCAACAAAGCTTGAAGCTCGCCCTTGTTTATCTTTCTGTGGGCCTCCCACCTCGGGAGGACCAAGCGAGTAGATTGAAAGCATTTGAGAACAACATTTTGACACGAGACGGACTGGACATGTGGAGCAGATGAGAAGTACATACAGAATTATGGTCTCAGAACCTGAACAGAATTGGAGACGTAGCCATAGATGAGAAAATATTTTTAAAACTGGATTAATTTGGCTCCATGCAAACCTTCAGGTCCCATAAATTTCAGGAGATTTCCTGACCACCTGACTGACTATAAGCTTCTGAAGGCTCTGCTCCATGGAGTTAGTTACTCCAACACGTTTATGTTCTTTGGATGTTTCACCAGACCCTAACAAGTGCCGCTTGGTTTGCTGGGACTTGAAGGAAAGAGGCGCCGTGGGCGAGACGTGCCTCCACCTGTGTCTTCTTAACGCCACATCTATACACGCAGACCTCGCCAAGAGGCTTCTGAAGTTCTACCCCAAGCTCATCAATGACATCTACATGTGTGACGAGTACTATGGTAATTGTTTTTCTCATGCCCTTGGAACTTTTCAACACTTCAGAATGTTTGTTGTGTGATTAAGTTTCCTATATTTCCTCATAACAAATATTTTTAAGTTTGCTCTCAGTTATCAGGAAAGACAAGTTTCATGTCAGTGCCGTTGGCATTATTGTAGACGGCAGACAGGCGTGAGAACTTTATTCCAGAAAATATAACTAAAGTCATAAAGTTGGTGGCCCAAGAAATATGATTTTGTTGTAATTACGTTAATAACACTATTATTTTCCGTGTAGAACTGTTCGCAATCTTCCTCAGCAAGACAAACAGAGCCTCAAACCAAAATCAAAGCAAAAGTAAGAAAGAGTCAGTATTATTCAGTGTAAGAGGAGGAAACCTCACGTAGCTTCCTTCATCAATTGTTGTTTAACCAGTGACAGGCAAATGAGTTTAAGTTCAGAATTTACAACCCGAGTGTGATTGTTGCTTTAGGGCCTATGTTTCTTATTGCCTGTAGTTTTGCAAAATTAAACTTCAGCCATAAGCTTATGTCCACATCAATCATCACATTTGCTAGCTTTGAAAAAAAATCAGTAAACTTGATTTCTGAAAGCTTTCCAAAATTTTCGTTTTGATTTTGTACTCTTTTCAAACATAAATTCCTCTGCCATGGCACAGGAAGTGTTCAGATGGGTGCCTTGACAGTCACACTGGTGTGCTGATTCCAGGAGAGAGTGTCTTGCATCTGGCAATTGTGAATGAAGACCCTGCAATGGTGAAGTTCCTTCTAGATTCGGGTTCAGATTACCATGAGCGCTGCATAGGCAACTTCATGTGCCCTGAGGACCAAAAGGGCTCCCGCACTGACTCCCTTGACCATGAGTATGTCAATCTCTCTCCTGAAACCAACTATGAAGGGTGAGTACGATGCTGCCAAGTACTTGTTTCATTCATACGTCAGTTTAATGACACGTCTTCGTCAAAAACCTCTAGACTACATTATGTCCATATTTTGTTTTTCCAAAATTTAATGTCAAACTTCATGCTTCATATTCCTCTTCTAACTTCCTTGTATTTACATTCCAGGTCTTCTGTATTATTTGCTGAATAACGTACATTAGGTCACCAACTCTATAACGAAGTCAGTGTCATATGTCAGTAGCACCGGAGATGTCATTACTAACACCAAATCTTTTTTGTCATTATTAATTTAACTAACATTGTGGTAGCCGTTCAACTTCTCCTCAAGTTCAGGTATAATTTTAAATATGTTGCTGTTGACATGACAACTGCAGCCTCAGTCTGTATAATTTTAAAACAATTTATAAAAATATTGCACCTCACCTCTTCTGTGTCTGAATCTACTGCTTAAAAGTAAAATGCAGCCATTAAAATAGGGATCATTCTCAAAGAGGTTCCTATACCCCAAAGCACAGTGCACATTTCCAAAGTAAAAACAAAATTTAATACAGCTCACATTAAACATCACAGGTATGTCTACTGGGGAGAATATCCCCTGGCCTTTGCTGCATGTTTGGGCCAGGAAGAATGTTACAGGTTGATGTTGGCCAGGGGTGCCAACCCTAATAATCAGGACACAAATGGAAACACTGTGCTCCATATGTTGGTCATATACGAGAAGCTGGTGAGTATTTACATATGTAGCACGGCCGTTACCAGCTCAGACATCAATTACAATATCGTATGTATTGCGTCTGAGGTAAGTTTATTTTACCTAGTACTACCCAACATTAGTAAAACATGACAACCTTCTTAGACAGCTGTCGTCTTGATTTCAGTAGAATGAATGAATTATTGCGCATAGCGAAAATAGTGCATGTGGCAGTTTCCTTATTTGTATGAGATGTAATTAAATGCAAGACAGTGATTGCAGTCCTTTACATGTATATTTCTTCCCAATATAATAAATTAATTTTTAACGTGTGTTCGTAAGTCAACGTTTGACATGGCATATGAGGTCGGCGCATCCCTTGCAGTACGCAACGTGCAGAACCTCACCCCACTCACGCTGTCTGCCAAACTTGCAAGGATTGAGATGTTCTTCCACATCCTCAACATCGAGCGAGAGATATATTGGCAGATAGGTAAGGAGACACCTGATTCGCAACTGTGGCCAGACTCCCGACATGCTTCATCATTAGGAAATATATGATCTCACTAAACACCAGTAGATAGCATCTGCTTTGTATTGTAGGTGTCTCAGGTGTAAATCTTGTCCCAGAAACAGACTATCATAGGTTCTTTTGTGGTCCTTGGCCTCTCAAGGTTTTACTGCTGTTCCCCACACCCTCTTCAGTTCTCTGACGACAAATCGGCTGCCTATGCAACTGAGAAACATCATTCAATAAACAAGTACTCAGTCAAAAACTGTCAAACCACTTCGTGCCCAGTAGAACGAGCTCGGAGAAGCTGCATCTGCTGAGTCCCTGTGATTCAGTGATGTGATGTACCAATTATTTTCTAGTCTATTATGCTTTCCCCCACTGTCCAATGGCGCCTAAATAGGTTACGCAGCCTTCAAGTAATTGTATTAACAACACTAACTGAAGCCTAATTTCACTGCCCCTTGTAAGAATTTTATATGAAAATGTTCTTTATTCATTCTTTCATGAGAAGTCTTTGAATATTGCCTGACATGATTGGAACTGGGCACCCTTCGTGTTGTGGAGTCAAATAATGAATAAGTGCATCTCCAGTTTTCTTTGTCCTCCACTTTAGCATTTTCTAGTAAACTTAATGAAGTCCTTTTCTAATTTCTGGTACGATCATACTGGAAGTAAGTATCTTCGTATGACTTCTCATGAATTCAGGAGTTAAAAGGTATACATGACAATAGCCTTCTTCTGAAACGTAAAGCTTCAAAATTAATATTCTGGAACTGGACTTGGACTTACTGCCTTAAATAAATCCATTTAATGGAGACCAGCCTTTATTCCGTTAGGTTAAACGTTGGCTGTTACTTACACAAATAAAATAACAATAGTGTTCAACAGTTAGGTACGCAGACAAGGCGATTTCAAAATTATTTGTGATTATATTATTATTAGATCTAAAACTTCTTGACGATGGTGAAGAGTCAATTGAATAAAAATTTTCTTGGATATTATCCATCGTCTAGTAAATATAAAACGTAAAACGACGTTTCGGAGATAAACGTTTATGTAAATGAATGATAACAACGAGTTCATATTCTGTTTCTGCACAGAAAATATTGCAGACTGCGAGTCTGCAGGGTTGTTGGGTGATAGTATTACTTATATGTGGCTGAATTTCCGATGCTTCGGAGAGCCTTACTGTTTCCATCTTCAGGGCGAAGTGATTATCGAATTGAAAGAGCCAAGTGTCCCACTACACAGAATTCGGAGTGGCAATCTCAGTGATGTTAAAACGGCTGACTGGATCACCGATATTATTATTGATTGTGTGAGTTGGTTGGTTTTCTTGTTTGCTGCAGGAAGCATTACCTGTGCAGCTTACCCACTGGAGCAAATTGATACCATCGACATTGACACAGGAAACATCAGCAAGAACTCAGCACTGAACCTCGTTGTGTTTGGGGTAAGAGACACCACTTCTGCCTACTTAACTATTGTTAATTTGAAGGCAGAGTGTAATTACAACCTGTTTTCTGCCCCTTTCGTGTCATCCAAAGTCAGATATTTTGCCCCAATGCTCATATTGTAATTTTCTGCAAATAAAGTTGCATATTGCTCATTACGATATGTGAAATTCCAGTTTGCAATTGGTATTGAAGAGTCCCCCAAAGAATTACTGCTTATTTCTAATGTAATATCTCATCAAAATATTTTGCAAACTTTTTAGGATAAGGATGAACATCTGGAGTTGATGGATGGTGTGCTTGTGGACCTCCTTAATGCCAAATGGAATGCATTTGTCAAATTCAGGTATTCTCCTCATCTACTCTTAAAATACTGCGTTAAACTTCAGTTGTTCAAGAAAGCTTGTACCCGCAACTGTTTTATTTTTCATCACATCCTGTGTTTTATTGACTAAATATTTTTATGTAGATTTGTTTTTAAAGAACTAAAGTAAATTCACAAATTTATTACTACAAAATATTTAGACATGATAATATAATTCACTTTTCAGCATAGGGGAGACCATAGCTAGCTGTTACGTGTTAGTTCAAAATCATTCATGTGCGATAGCACTTCATTAGATTTACGGTGTATCACTTCTGGTAACAGATCTTCCCAAGCTATGTCTTTTCTGAGTTTTGAACATAATTTTGCTGATAGCAAACAAATGTTTTTTCTTCTTTTCTTTTCCAGGTTCTATCGACAGTTCTTCCTTTTTCTCTTCTATTTCCTGTTTTCTCTAGTTTGCTTCACCTTAAGGCCTGGTCCACCGCCTAAACAAGCTCCTACAACGCCTCCACCTCTGAATAAAACTGCTATAAATATCACTGCCTCTACTCCTAATTCAACTTTTCCTCACGTGTCTTCACAGTTAGGATTAACAGATATTCTACTTCACGATCCCAATTCTTCACTAAAATTGTACTCGCAATATCGGTCACCGACTAGAAACATGCCTTTGCCATACAGATTAATTTCATCATCTAATTACACTGACAAAATTTATGAATCTGTCACGTCCAAAAATGTCACATTAGATTCAGAGACAGGAAGTGTGATGGCTTATCAGTTAGGAGATCTGCACAATGGGAGCTCCAGTAACCGTACGCAACTCTCAGTTTCCAAAACACTGAACATAAGTGGAACTAGCTCTCGCGGTGAGCAGGATGCAGAGGAAAAGAGGAAGAGGGCAAGAAAGGAGAGGGATTCTGAGTCATTGTCACAGGTAAATAGAAGGATGAGAATTGATGATTAAAAATAAGAATCATCAGTGATTTCATTTATAGAACATTATGCCATACTCTGAATAGTTGAAGTATGATGATAAAGAACAAATATCAGTGTGATATACAGCGAGTTATTTTGTGAATGTGCTCCGAAATGGAAGAGTTGGAGCTCCCCTGTTAAATCAGACATGAAAACAGTCACTTCGTAGCTATGTTCACTGTAGTCTGGAGTTATGATGACTTCTGCATTCAAATATTTTGGTGTGTGTGATTGTATTTTACGTGAAGAATGCCATGCTGATATGTATGCCTGATTTTTCAAACATTTGATCTGTTTTCGTATAAAATTATGCGAACATTTTGACATTTAATGTCTCCTCATATTTATACTTATTAATATATTTGGTGATTAATATTACCAACATACTCAATGCACAAATGCTGTCACAATAAACAGAGTAACATGCGCTGTTGTTTTTATTTATTTTGTAGAATATTAAGTAACTTGCAATTTTGCAGTATTTTTATTTAGTCTTCTATTTGGGAGAAATAAACATGGCTGTGAATGCAAAAATAATATAATCATATGTCAGCCATAACTAGGACAAATAAAAAGGTTTCTTTTGGTAATTACAGTCATGGACATGGAAAAATTTGGAGTGTGTCTGGCATGTTTAAAGTACAGAATGAGCACAAAAGAACTTTACATTTTCAAAATGATACAGAAGACAAATATGACGTACGTAGAACTCCAACCTAGGCAGTGGGCTGGTCACTCACTACTCACAGATTCACACTCCAAAGACTAGGAAAACCTCCGAAGGGAGGCAGCCAAGACCCACACTGGGCTCTCAAGCGAAGAAAGAAGATCTCCACACCTACACTAGTCAGTAGAAAAAACTTAAAATTTCACACACACACGTCACTGAGACTCGATATGTAGTCTTCTAGACCCAAATTAATTTTGACATATTACATCCTAAGTATTCAATAAGTGTACCTTTTCTGTCATTATTCTGTTTTGCAACAGAATTGACTCACAGATGATGTTTCTTCCCTTCCAGTGCCATCTACAATGTTTTGCTGGATATTTTCACATCATGTAGACCTAAAGGAAAACTTATTCTTAACCTTAATAACAGCTGCATTCAACATGAAACTTGTTAAAAAAATGTGATTATGTTCCACTAATGTTATGCAGAGTAAAGCAGTCGATGACGATGATGATGACTGGTGGGATGACCTGCAGGAG